ACTGCCTCCCAAGCTGGAGTGCAGTGGTATGATTTTGGCTCCTTGCAGCCTAGAACTCCTGGTTTCAAGTGATCCCCTGGCCTCAGTCTCCCAAAGTGCTGGGATTACAGGTGTGAACCGCCGTGCCCAGCCAAGGCAATCATTTTCTCAGAAAAGGTTAGAGGATTCTGAGATTAGTAGGTGATTGGTGGAAAGAAAGGGACTGGCTGGAAAGTCCTCAGCCATGCACAGTTATCTTTTCATGGATCCCATGTGCAAATTCATGTGAAGTAGTATGAAACACAGTGAAAATTCGGGCTGTGAATGACACCGACAAGTTCATTCTGCACAGAATATAGTTGGCCATATTGGTTCTAAACAATTTTTGCTGATCTTAGTGGAAGGAGTTTCAGAGTTTCCACAAGTTGTTTCTTGTATTTATTTATATTTTCATTTGGGTTGGGGACAGGGTCTCACTCTGTTGCCTAGGCTGGAGCGCAGGGTGCGATCTTGGCTCACAGCTATCTCCACCTCCTGGGCTCAGGCAATCCTCCCATTTCAGCCTCCCTAGTAGCTGGGACTACAGCACGTGCCACCATGCCCGGCTAAATATTTTTTAATAATTTTTTGTAGAGAAGTCTCACTGAATTACCCAGGGTGGTGTCAAATTCCTAGACTCAAGCGATCTTCCTGCCTCCTACTTGGCCTCCCAAAGTGTTGGGATTACAGGCCTGAACCACCGTGTCCTGCCTTGTTTCCTTTTTTTTTTTTTTGTATAGCATTTTTTTTTTTTTTTGGTTGTTGTTTGTTTAGAGATGGGGCCTCACTATATTGCCCAGGCTGGTCTCAAACTCCTAGGCTCAAGTATTCCTGCCTCGGCCTCCTAAAGTGCTATTTCTTTCTTTCTTTTATTTTTTTTTTAATCTGCCATCCTGCAAACTCAAGAGTTTCTGTTAGTTACTAGTTTATTTAACTCTGGGGCACAATTTCAGAGAGACTTGGAAGTCTCTGTGCCCTAGAGAGTATAATGCGGCCAGGCACAACGGCTCAGACCTGTAATCCCAGCAGTTTAGGAAGCCGAGGCAGGCAGATCACCTGAGATCAGGAGTTCAAGACCAGCCTGGCCAACATGGAGAAACCCCATCTAGACTAAAAATACAAAAATTAGCCGGGCATGGTGGCACATGCCTGTAATCCTAGCTACTTGGGATGCTGAGGTGGGAGAATTGCTTGACTCTGGGGGCGGAGGTTGCAGTGAGCCGAGACTGCACCACTGCCCTTCAGCCTGGGCAACAGAGTGAGACTCTGGAAAAAAAAAACTGTAATGCTTCACTCATCTTCTTTAAGGGGTTGTGGGAATAAATCCCACCACTTTACAGCAACCTCCATCTCATTGCAGCCGAGATTCAATCTAAGCAGGTAGTGGATGGAAAAGCACAGCATAAAATACTACATGAGCTCTCAAAGTCCAATGTGAGCACAATGTGTTTTTTGTTTTTTGTTTAACCTTGTATTATATAGCTTTTCAAACATGGAAAAGTAGAGAGAAGCTCGGCAAGGTGGCATGTGCCTGTATTCCAGCTACCTGGGGGGCCGAGGCAGGAGGATCACTTGAGCCCAGGAGCTCAAGGCTGCTGTGAGCTATGACTATGCCATTGCACTCCAGCCTGGGCAACAGAGCAACACTCCATCTCTAAATAAAGAAGTAGAAAGAATACTAAAATGCAATAAACCCCCATCTACCCATCAGCTTTAACAATTAACAAATGGCCAATCCTTTAAAAAAATTTTTTTTTGCCCATCAGTTTGAGCTTATGAGCTTGCTCAGGTTAGCCTTGAACTCATGACCTCGCCTTCGCAAGCGCCACGACCTCCGGCAGGAGCCACTTTGGACCCCCTTAAAAATTTTTTATAGACATGAGATGTCTTACTACATTGCCTAGGCTGGTCTTGAACTTCTGGGCTCAAGCGATCCACCTGCCTCGGCCTCCCAAAATGCTGGGATTACAGGCGTGAGCTGCTATGCCTGGCCCAATCTTTTCTCCCTGTGTTCTTCCCCCTGGGTTATTTTAAAGCAAAGCCAAAACATATTTTACTATTTATTATTATTATTTATTTATTTATTTTTTGAGACAGAGTTTCGCTCTTGTTACCCAGGCTGGAGTGCAATGGCACGATCTCAGCTCACCACAACCTACACCTCCTGGGTTCAGGCAATTCTCCTGCCTCAGCCTCCTGAGTAGCTGAGATTACAGGCACACGCCACCATGCCCAGCTTATTTTTTGTTTTGTTTTTTTGTTTTTTTTTTGAGATGGAGTTTCGCTGTTGTTACCCAGACTGGATGGAGTGCAATGGCACGATCTCGGCTCACCGCAACCTCCGCCTTCTGGGTTCAAGCAATTCTCCTGCCTCAGCCTCCCGAGTAGCTGGGACTACAGGCACGCACCACTATGCCCAGCTAATTTTTGTATTTTTAGTAGAGACGGGGTTTCACCTTGTTGACCAGGAGGGTCTCAATCTTTTGACCTCGTGATCCACCCACCTCAGCCTCCCAAAGTGCTGGGATTATAGGCATGAGCCACTGCGCCCGGCTATTATTTGTATTTTTAGTAGAGATGGGGTTTCATCATGTTGACCAGGATGTTCTTGATCTCTTGACCTTGTGATCCACCCACCTCGGCCTCCCAAAGTGCTGGGATTACAGGCTTGAGCCACCACGCCTGGCATTATTATTATTATTATTATTATTTGAGATGGAGTTTCGCTCTGTCACCAGGCTGCAGTGTGGTGGTGCAATCTTGGCTCACTGCAACCTCTGCATCCCGGGTTCAAGCAGTTCTGTCTCAGCCTCCTGAGTAGCTGGAACTACAGGTTCATGCCACCACATCTAGCTAATTTTTTTTTGAGATGGAGTCTCACTCTGTCTTCCAGTCTGGAGTACAGTGGCGTACTCTCAGATCACTGCAACCTCTGCCTCCCAGAGGCCACCACACCTGGCTAATTTTTTGTATTTTTAGTAGAGACAAAGTTTCACCATGTTAGCCAGGATGATTTCAATCTCCTGACTTCATGATCCGCCCGCCTCAGCCTCCCAAAGGGCTGGGATTACAGGCGTGAGCTACCACACCCGGCCTAATTTTTGTATTTTTTAGTAGAGAGGGGGTTTCACTATGTCGGCCAGGATGGTCTCCAACTCTTGACCGTAGGTGATCCACCTGCCTCGGTCTCCCAAAGTGCTGGGATTACAGGTGTGAGCCACTGCACCTGGCCATATTATTTTATTTTTTAAGAGACAGGTCATGCCACTGCACTCCAACCTGGGTGATAGATAAAGCCAGACATTTTTTTTTTAAAAAAAAAAAGAAAAACGGTGTCTCACTCTGTTGCGCATTCTGGAGTGCCCTGGCATGATCATAGCTCACTGAAGCCTCAAACTCCTGGGCTCAAGTGATCCTCCTGCCTCAGCCTCTCAAGTACTGAGATTAAAGGTGCCCACCACCAGGACTGGCTATTTTTTCAGGTGTTATAGCTGACCAGTCTGATCTCAAACTCCTGGTCTCAAGCAATGCCCCTGCCTGGACCTCCCAAAGTGGTGGGAATTATAGACATGAACCATTACTCCTGGCCAAATTATTTCATCTGTAAAAACTTCAGTATGTGTTCAGGTGCTGTGGTTCACGCCTGTAATCCCAACACTTTGAGAGGCCGAGGCTGGCGGATCATGAAGTTAATTTAAGAATTTGAGACTAGCCTGGCCAACATAGTGAAACCCCGTTTCTACTAAAAATACAAAAAAAGTAGCCAGGCGTGGTGGCCAAGGCCTCTACTCCTAGCTAATCGGGAGGCTGAGGCAGGAGAATCGCTTGAATCTGGGAGGCGGAGGCTGCAGTGAGCTGAAATTGCACCATTGCACTCCAGCCCAGGCAACAGTGTGAGACTTGGTCTCAAAAAAAAAACACAAACACTTCACTATGTATCTCAAAGAGATAAGAACTTGTTTTTAACAGAAGTACAAGCCTGTATAACACAGAAATACAAAAAATAATAACATAGAAATGCAATACCTGGCTGGGCACTGTGGTTGACGCCAGTATGTCCAGCACTTTGGGAGGCCGAGGCAGGCGGATCACTTAAGGTCAGGAGTTAGAGATCAGCCTGGCCAACACAGTGAAACTCCGTCTTTACTAAAAATACAAAAAACAGCTGGGCGTGTGGGCACACACCTGTAGTGTAGGCTGAGGCAGGAGAATCACTTGAACTGGGAGGCGGAGCTTGCAGTGAGTCGAGATCGCGCCACTGCACTTCAGCCTGGGCAAAAGGGCGAGACTCCAACAGGAAAAGAAAAAGAAAAGAAATAGAATACCTGAGAAGTTTTGTAATTCCTTAAATCAGTTATCTTTGAATTGTCATCCAAAAAAGATCCACACATTGAAACATTACATTTTGTTGATATATCCCTTAAATCCCTTTTATTCTGAAGTGTTTTTCCCTCCCATGTTTCCCCCTTTGCCATTTTTTTGAAGAAGACAGATCATTTGTTCCATTTAATTTCTTACATTTTGGATATGGTTGATTTCACCTCTACATCTTAACATATTTCTACTAATCTCTATGTAGCCTATAAACTGGTAGTTAGATCTTGAGGCTTGATCAGGCTCAATTTTTGGCAATAGGTGATGCTCTGTATTTCCTATGCATCACACCAGGAAATGATATGATGGTATGATTGATCAGAGTTAGGTATTGTTAGCCTGTTGCATCCATTATGTTTTTTTGTTTTTTTTTTTGTTTGTTTGTTTGTTTAGGCAAGGTCTAGCTTTGTTTCCCTGGCTGGGGTGCAGTAGTACGATCGCAGTTCATTGCAACCTTCACCTCCCGGACTCAAGCGATTCTCTACCTCCGCCTCATGAGTGCTGGGATCCCAGGTGCCGCCACCTAATGAATGGACGCTTGCCTCCATTTTTTAAATGTCCCTTTCAGGACGCCGTCTCCTTCCTGGTACGCGCCGCGCTGGGAGCGAAAGGGACTTCCGGGAGATCTAGGAAGTGGCTTCTCTTTCTGGCAGGAGGCGGGGTTCTCCCCGCACGCTGCGGAGTCTCTGCGGGTGTAGACCGGAATCCTGCTGACGGGCAGAGTGAATCAGGGAGGGAGGGTCGGGACACGGAGGCTGCAGGTCTGAGGCGAGGCTGCTCCGATGTAGTAGCTCTCTTGCCTGGAGGTGGCCATTCATTCCTGGAGTGCTGCTGAGGAGCGAGGGCCCCTCTGGGGCCTCAAGGATAGACCTCTTGCGCTTACCCCGGGCTGCGGCCGGCCTTCTCAGAGAGGAGGGCGTCCTTCTACCCCGCGGCGCAGGTGACCGCTGCTGCCATGGCTTTTCCCCATCGGCTAGACGCCCCTGAGCTGCCTGATTTCTCCATGCTCAAGAGGCTGGCTCGAGACCAGCTCATCTATCTGCTGGAGCAGGTCAGTGCTCACCTGGCACCTTTACCGCATCTACACTTTAGCACTCATTGGATGCATATTTCTTCCTTGCTGTGCCCCTCTGATCTTGTTCTTGGCCCCTAGTATTGTCCTTGGAGCTTCCCCCGCAGGTCCAGAATGAATCCAGGGAGTAGTTAGTAAGCTGTTTGGAACGTGACAAGAAAGTTAATGGAAATCACTCCCCATACAGGCAAGGGAGACACCCTTAATGCCAGGCATCCCTAGGGATGGAAAGATGGTTAAGACATCTTTTCCATTAGGGGTCTTCCCACTCCAGTAGGACCTGTATGAAGCACAAATTATCAGACACAGGTGGTAAATGAGTGATAGGGCTAGTGTACCCGAAGGGCTCAGAATAAGTGATCATTTCTAGCTAGGGTGATGATCTAGGAGCTTCAAGGAGGTGAGTGTGAATAATAAGCATATTTTCTTTGGAGAATAAGCCTGCTTCAGGCAGATAGATTGGTAGGAGCAAAGTTGATAAACCATGGAAAGACAAGCCATGACCGGGGAAGACAGCCTTCAGAAGTTAGACAGTAGAGCCGGGCGCGGTGGCTCACGCTTGTAATCCCAGCAGTATGGGAGGCCGAGGCGGGTGGATCCCGAGGTCAAGAGATCGAGACCATCCTGGTGAACATGGTGAAACCCCGTCTCTACTAAAAATACAAAAAATTAGCTGGGCATGGTGGCGCGTGCCTGTAATCCCAGCTACTCAGGAGGCTGAGGCTGGAGAATTGCCTGAACCCAGGAGGCGGAGGTTGCGGTGAGCCGAGATGGCGCCATTGCACTCCAGCCTGAACGAAACTCCGTCTCAAAAAAAAAAAAAAAAAAGTTACACAGTAGCCACTGAAGATTTTTTTTTTTTTCCATTTGTGGCATGAGACAATACTAGATGATGATTCTAATAGTGATGTGTGGGATGGAGTAAATGGGGAAAGAGGCCAGTTAGGAGACCATAGCAATAAAGGCCCACACAAAATTGATAGCAGTGGGAATCAAGGGAAATAAGGGATTTTTAAGTTATGGTGAAAGAAAACTCAAAGACTTACTGATTGGTTATAAAGGTTGAAGGAGAAGGAAAAATGAGTGAGATTTTTAACCTGGGCTGTTAGGAAAATAATACTGCTACTGTGATTTTAATGGATTGCTTGTGTAATCATTTAGTTATTCATTTAATGTCCATATTTCTCATTAGATTGTCCTTGAGAGCAGGCATCATGTTTGTTTTGTTAGCACTACCCAGTGAGTACCTAGCTTAGAGTCAAGCACACACCATGTGCTTAACAAATATTTGTTGTATGAACATTGAATAGAAATGAAAAAAATAATTAGGAAAAGGAACAGGTTTCGTGGGGGAAGCTGATTTGTTTGGGTTTGAATGGGGGATGTTAAGATGCCAGTAACAAATACAGCGTGTAACATCCAGTAGATAGAAATGTAGAACTGGCTGGGCACAGTGGCCCATGCCTATAATCCCAGCACTTTAGGAGGCCGAGAGGGGTGTGGATCACCTGAGGTCAGGAGTTCAAAACCAGCCTGGCTGACATGATGAAAACCCGTCTCTATGAAAGAATACAAAAATTAGCCGGGTGTGTGGCACATGCCTGTAATCCCAGCTACTCAGGAGTCTGAGGCAGGAGATATCACTTGAACCCGGTAGGCAGAGGTTGCATGAGCCAACATGGTGCCACAGCACTTCAGCCTGGCAACAAGAGAGAAACTGTATCCAAAAAAAAAAAAAAGAAAAGAAAAGAAAAGAAAGAAACGTAGAACTGCAGCTCCACTGTGAGGGCTGGAAGGAAGGAAGATGGATGAAGATGAGAAATGCACAGCATCTTAGACCAGAAGTTCCAGAATTTCTTTCTTTTTCTTGTTCTTTTTTTTTTTTTTTTTTTTTTTTGAGACGGAGTCTTACTCTGTTGCCCAGGCTGGAGTGCAGTGGCACGATCTCAGCTCGCTGCAACCTCCACCCCCCGGGTTCAGGGGATTTTCCTGCCTCAGCCTCCCTAGTAGCTGAGATTACAGGTGCCTGCCATCACACCGGGCTAATTTTTGTATTTTTAGTAGCAATGGTGTTTCACCGTCTTGGCCAGGCTGGTCTCAAACTGCTGACCTCAGGTGAACTGCCTGCCTTGGCCTCCCAAAGTGCTGGAAATGTAGGCGTGAGCCACCATGCCCAGGCTAGTTTTCTTTTATACAACTGGCAACTGGACTGAAGAAAGGAGAAACTGGAGGTAGGGAGTCCCCTTAGGGAGTAAGGCAGCCCGAGCATGTGGCTTGTAACACCTGTCTGAAGAATTAAAAAGAGGTGCTATTTAAAGCCACTAGTTCAGGTGAGATCAGTAAGAGAGTAGCGGCAACCAAGGAGAGAAACGTGAGCTCACTGTGGGATTCAGCATGGCCAGAGTAGATTTCCAGGCAATAACGTCCTCTCCTAACTAACTTCTGACTTACTTAATTTTTGTTAATGTGCACAGTATTCAGGCTTGAAATGTCAGAATCATCACTGCCTCTCCTTCACCCTGATACTTACTGAGTTCCATGGATACTTCTTTTTTTTTTTTTCTTTTGAGACAGAGTCACGCTCTGTTGCCCAGGCTGGAGTGCAATGGCACGATCTCGGCTCACTGCAACCTCCATCCCCCTGGTTCAAGCGATTCTCCTGCCTCAGTCTCCTGAGTAGCTGGGATTATAGGCGTCTGCCACCATGCCTGGCTAATTTTTGTATTTTTAGTAGACATGGAGTTTCACCATCTTGGCCAGGTTGGTCTCTATCTCCTGACCTCATGATCTGCCTGCCTCAGCTTCCCAAAGTGCTGGGATTACAGGGGTGAGCCACTGCGCCCGGCCATCAGGCCCTCTTTCATTGCCACACGCTTGGGCTGCTGGGACTGTTTCATTCAGTCCCTAAGCAGACTCCCTGCCTCCAGTTTCTCCTTTCTTCAGTCCAGTTGCCAGATTCATCTAACATTTCCAGCTGAATGAAATGCTCCATTGTACAAAACTTTGTTTTTCCCATTACATTAGAGGATCAAGGCCACACTCTCGTAAACTGGCATTTGGAGCCCTTCCTGCACAATTCTAGCAACTATTTTGTTCTGTTTTCACCATTCACCTACATCAAGATTTCCTACCCTCTGTTGATCATTTTTGGTTTGGGAAATTTAAAAATAAATAAAAATAGAAAATTTTTTATTTTTTTTGAGACGGAGTTTTGCTCTTGTTACCTAGGCTGGAGTGCAATGGCGCAATCTCGGCTTACCACAACCTCCGCCTCCTGGGTTCAGGCAATTCTCCTGCCTCAGCCTCCTGAGTAGCTGGGATTACAGGCACGTGCCACCATGCCCAGCTAATTTTTTGTATTTTTAGTAGAGACGGGGTTTCACCATGTTGACCAGGATGGTCTTGATCTCTTGACCTCATGATCCACTCGCCTCGGCCTCCCAAAGTGCTGGGATTACAGGCATGAGCCACCATGCTTGGCCAGAAAATTTTTTTTAAAATAAATTTTATTGTGTATATTTGAGGTATACAACATGATATAATAGGATATATATAGAGAGTAAAATGAAGCAAAGTAACATAACTGTTATCTCACATAGTTACATTTCTGTGTGTGATAAGAGCAGCTAAAATCTACTTATAAGAATAGAAATTTTTAAAGGCCAAATGTGGTTCATACCTGTAATCCCAACACTTTGGGAAGCTGAGGTAGTTGGATCACCTGAGGAGATCAGGAGTTCGAGACTACCATGGCCAACATGGCAAAACCTTGCCTCTACTAAAAACACAAAAATTAACCCGGTGTGGTAGAGGGTGCCTGTAATCCCAGCTACTTGGGAGGCTGAGGCAGGAGAATTGCTTGACCCTGGGAGGCAGAGGTTGCAGTGAACTGAGATTGCGCCAGTGTGCGACAGAGTGAGACTCTATCTTAAAAAAACAAACAAACCAAAAAACAACAAAAAAACCAGGTCAGGCATGGTGGACCACATCTGTAATCCCAACACTTTGGGAGGCTGAGGTGGGTGGATTACAAGGTGAGGAGTTCAAGACCAGCCTGGCCAACATGGTGAAACCCTATCTCTACTAAAAATACAAAAATTAGTTGGGTGTGGTGGTGCACACCTATAATCCCAGCTACCCAGAAGGCTGAGACAGGAGAATCACTTAAATCCTGGAGGCAGAGGTTGCAGTGAGCTGAGATCGTGCCACTGGACTTCAGCCTGGGTAATGGAGCTAGACTCTATCTCTAAAACAAAAGAAAACAAAAACAATAAATAAGATAAAAAAATAAAAGATTGCCTGCTGTCTATACCATTGACCTTTTGGGCTGGATCATTGTCTGTGGTGGGGGCTGTCTGTACATTGTTGGATGTCTAGCCACATCCCTGGCCTCTACCCACCTCTCTAATAGAAACAAAGATGCCAGTAAATTCCCTACCCTGAGTCAGACAACCAAAAACATTTCTGGACATTGCCAAATGTCTCGGAGAGCAAAGTCATCCCCTTACCACACAGCCTATGCTCTTTCCCTGATCTTTGCTGGGCTGCCCTCTTTATATGTCCATGTCAACACCCTACTCATTTGTGAAGGCTTCTTTGAGAGGAAATTTCTAATGACTTTCCCCTCCTTGTCACTAATTGTGACCACTCCTTCCTCTGAACAGGCATTGAGAGTCTATGTCAGGAGTGGTGGCGCAGGAATCAGATGACAGGGATTGTGGGGTGAGGGAGTAGAAGGGTAACGGGGTGAGGACTGTCCTGGCTTTGCTAAGTTTTCTGCAGTGAATGTGTACTATTTGATTTTGTACTTGGGGGAAAAATGCAAGGTGGCGTTCTGTTGCATTTGGCTTTGTTCAGCAGTAGATCAGGAGTGGTTGGGAGCCAGAGTGGAGGAGGGAGCAGAGAAGGGGAGTCAGGTGCCAATCAAGGTCACAGGTGAGCAAAGGAATTAACCTGAGAAAGTGAGCCACAAGGAATTAACCTGAGAAAGAAGGTGGAATGTCTTCCCACTGGTACAGGAAATGAGAAGGCAAAATAGGCAAATATACAGAGAAATGTCAGCTGGGGATCCAGATAATTAATAAGGTGCCGGGGTAGACCATGCTTAGGGCCCTCCCACCTCGGGCAGGTGTTTCTGATAGATGGGTGGCTGGGCCAGTTCTCAGCTGAGGAAGCTCGTGGGACTGTGAGTGACCCAGCATCCTGTCTCTCCTTCAGCTTCCTGGAAAAAAGGATTTATTCATTGAGGCAGATCTCATGAGCCCTTTGGATCGAATTGCCAATGTCTCCATTCTGAAGGTACTGTCCCTTTCCCTGGGGTCATGCCCCTCTTTCCTCTTTGAGCAGTTTTTCTTTTGATGAACAATATAAATTACTGAAGTGTGACTCCCCTTACAGGGCAAATAGAGGGTAGCTGAATTGTGTGAAAAAGCGGGATTGATGCTATTGTTCATAGTTTTTGTTTGTTTGTTTTTTGTTTTATGGGGGGAGATGGAGTCTCTCTGTTGCCCAGGCTGGAGTACAGTGCAATGGCACAATCACAGCTCACTGCAGCCTTGACCTCCTGGACTCAGGTCATCCTCCTGCCTCAGCTTCCCAAGTAGCTGGGACCACAGGCATGTGACACTACACCTGGTCAATTTTAAAATTTAACTTTATTATGTGCTTATTTTTCTGAATCTGTTTACTACAGAACATATATACACATATATATATACACACACATATATATACATACATATATACACACATATATATATACACACACACATATATTAAAAAAATATATAGATAGATAAATTTTTCTTTTTTCTTTTGTAGCGACAGAATCTTGTTATAGTACCCAGGCTGATCTCAAACTCCTGGGTTCAAGCCTCCCAAAGTGCTGGGATTACAGGCATGAGCCACTGCACCTGGCCCATACTGTTTTTTGTTTGTTTGTTTGTTTTAAAACAAAGTCTTGCTCTTGTCCCCTAGGCTGGAGTCCAGTGGCATCATCTCAGTTCACTGCAACCTCCACCTCCCAGGTTCAAGCGATTCTCCTGCCTCGGCCTCCTGAGTAGCTGGGATTGCAGGTGCCTGCCAGCAAGGCCGGCTAATTTTTGTATTTTTAGTAGAGACAGGGTTTTACCATGTTGGCCAGGCAGGTCTCAACTCCTGACCTCAGGTGATCCACCCGCGTCGGCTTCCTAAAGTGCTGGGATTACAGGCGTGAGCCACCCTGCCTGGCCTTACTATTTTGACATTGTTTTATTTTTGGGTTTTCTGTTGACAGTTTGAGGAGGGTTCAGTGGGACGGTTGTCAGGGGAGCAGTTTGATTCCTAGAATTAGCAGAATGAGGAAGTTTTCAAAAAGTCCCTATCTTTGTATCATGCTTTGTGCTTTTCAGGCACTCTTATGTCCATTGTCTTATTGGATTCTCTCTGTAGCAACACGAAGTAGACAAGCTATACAAGGTGGAGAACAAGCCAGTCCTCAGCTCCAATGAACAGTGAGTGTCTGGGAGTCTGTCCCTACTCCAAGCTGGAGGAGGTCCCTACATCTGCCTTTCATCTGTCCTTGGCTGACATACATGGATCACCTCCCTGAACTTTACAATTTCATATCTAGGTTATTGGTTTAACCTCTTCTTTAGTTTTGTTTTATTTTCTGTAGTTTCTTTTCTGTAGTTTCTTGTCCTCTTCCCTCTCTAATTTATATTACCATCTATAACCAGATTGACTAATCTTTCAAAATTATTTTCATTGTGCTCTTCTCAAGGCAGCCTGGAATGGCAGCTCATGCCTGTAATCCCAGCACTTTGGGAAACCAAGGCGGTGGATCTTCTGAGGTCAGGTGTTCGAGACCAGCCTGACCAACATGAGAAACCCTGTTTCTACTAAAAATACAAAAATTAGCCACGCATGGTGGTGGACACCTGTAATTCCAGCTACTCAGGAGGCTGAGGCAGGAGAATTGCTTGAACCCAGGAAGTAGAGGTTGCAGTGAGCTGAGATTGCTCCAGTACACTCAAGCCTGAGCGATAGCAACACTCTGTCTCAAAAAAAAAAAAAAAAAAAAAATCTACAAGATTTCTCAACACTTGCTAAAGATTGTCCAGTTATTTATCATAGACTCTGAGCCTGTCTGCAGCGTGGCCTCCCACATTACCTTTCTGGCTTTGTCTCTTGTGTGTCCCCTTCAAGCCTCTGTTGACATGTGCTTCCACACCTCTCCCAGCTCTCTGCCTGTACCTTCACCCTTTTCATCATTCCATTCACTCTGCCTGAAACTGTCTCTGTCCTCACTGCTCCTATAAAGAATGCCCATCCTGGCCGGTCGCGGTGGCTCACGCCTGTAATCCCAGCACTTTGGGAGCCCGAGGCGGATGGATCACGAGGTCAAGATATCAAGACCATCCTGGCCAACACAGTGAAACCCCGTCTGTACTAAAAATACAAAAAAAATTAGCTGGGCGTGGTAGCACGCACCTGTGGTCCCAGCTATTCGGGAGGCTGAGGCGAAAGAATCTCTTGAACCCAGGAGGCGGAGGTTGCAGTGAGCCGAGGTTGCCCCACTGTACTCTAGCCTCTATAAAGCTCTATTGCCCTTCCAGTCCAGGGTGATTTTTCTCCTCTGGATTTATGTGGCATTTTGTATTTGTCTTGTTCTCTCAGCATGTAGTCATATACAGCTGTTGTCTTGTTTTTAAAGTATTTCTTGAACTTAATTAATGTACACGCTTTTTTTTTTTTTTTTGAGACGGAGTTTCGCTGTTGTTACCCAGACTAGAGTGCAATGGCATGATCTTGGCTCACCGCAACCTTCGCCTTCTGGGTTCAAGCAGTTCTCCTGCCTCAGCCTCCCAAGTAGCTGGGACTACAGGCCCAGCTTATTTTTGTATTTTTAGTAGAGACAGGTTTCACCTTGTTGACCAGGATGGTCTCGATCTCTTGACCTTGTGATCCACCTGCCTCGGCCTCCCAAAGTGCTGGGATTATAGGCATGAGCCACCGCACCCGACCTGTACATGCTTTCTTAGAAGAAAAAAAATCTCCTGGATACATGGAGACTATATCCATAGACCCCATTATTTTCTATTACTTTCTTATATTTTTAAGTTTTTTTTTTTTTTTTTGAGACGGAGTTTCTTTCTTGTTGCCCAGGCTGGAGTGCAGTGGTGCTATCTCAGCTCGGCTCACCACAACCCCTGCCTCCTGAGTTCAAGTGATTCTTCTGGCTTAGCCTCCTGAGTAGCTGGGACTACAGGCATACACCAGCATACCCTGCTAATTTTGTATTTTTATTAGAGACAGGGTTTCACCATATTGGTCAGGCTGGTCTTGAACTCCCTACTGCAGGTGATCCGCCTGCCTTGGCCTCCCAAAATGTTGGGATTACAGGTGTGAGCCACTGCACCTGGCCAGTATTTTTAAATTTTTTAAATTAAATTTATTTATTTTCAGAGACAGGGTCTCACCCTGTTGTACAGGCTGGAGTGAGCTCCTGGGCTCAAAGGATCCTCTTACTTCAGCCTCCTGAGGAACTGGGATTACAGGTGTGCACAACTGTGTATGCCTACAGTTTTATTTTATTTTTTGAGTCGGAGACTCTGTCACCCAGGCTGGACTGCAGTGGTGGGATCTCAGTTCACTGTAACCTTTGCCTCCTGGGTTCAAGCAATTCTCCTGCCTCAGCCTCCTGAGTAGCTGTGATTACAGGCGCCTACCACCACACCTGGCTAATTTTTGTATTTTTAGTACAGAAGGGGTTTTGCCATATTGGCCAGGCTGGTCTCGAACTTTGGATTTCAGGTAATCCACCTGCGTTAGCTTACCAGAATGCTGGGATTATAGGCATGAGCCACCTCGCCAGGCCCTATAGTATATTTTATTTTATTTTACCATTATTATTATTATTATTATTATTTTTGAGTTGGAGTCTTGCTCTTGTGGCCCAGGCTGGAGTGCAATGGTGCGATCTTGGCTCACCGCAGCCTTCACCTCCTGAGTTCAAGTGATTCTCCTGCCTCAGCCTCCTGAGTAGCTGGAATTACAGGCACCTGCCACTATGCCCGGCTAATATTTGTATCTTTAATAGAGACAGGGTTTCATCATGTTGACCAGGATGGTCTCGATATCTTGACCTCGTGATCCACCTGCCTCGGCCTCCCAAAGTGCTGATATTACAGGCTTGAGCCACCGCGCCCGGCCATTATTTTTTTTATTTTATTTAGATGGAGTTTTGCTCTTTGCCCAGGCTGGAGTGCAATGGTGTGATCTTGGCTCACCACAACCTCTACCCTCCCGGGTTCAAGTGATTCTCCTGCCTCAGCCTCTCAAGTAGCAGAGATTATAGGCATGTGCCACCACGCCGAGCTAATTTTGTATTTTTAGTAGAGACAGGGTTTCTCCATGTTGGTCAGCCTGGTCTTGAACTCTTGATCTCAGGTGATCCACCTGCCTCAGCCTCCCAAAGTGCATGAGCCATCTCACCTGGTCTTATTTTATTTTTAACTGATGAATAATAATTGTGTATTTTTATGGTGTATCCTTGTATTGGTTTTTGACACTTGGTTGTTAATATACTGCCTATATATGCATCTTTCTTTGCCCACTGGATTGTAAGGTACTTGAGAACAGGAACTCCTGGGTCCACCATAGGGTCAGTAGTGTACCCAGCTCATCATATTATACCCGTTATGTTGAGAGGTGTCTTCTGTGGTTGGCATCTGGTGGACCAAGAGATCTGGTGGCATAGCTGTCGCTGGGGTGAGACCCGTAGACAAATGGCAAAAGAGCTGGTATTGTTTCAGCTGCTTCTAAGTTGCTATCCAACTTGATAATTTTTCTTCACTGTTTTTTTTTCTTTCTCTCTCATAGATTGTGCTTCTTGGTCAGACCCCGTATCAAGAATATGCGATACATTGCCAGTGAGTGTGCCATGGTACTATGGGTAACTGTGGGAAAGGGTGGGCAAGATCTAAGGGCCTTGGCCATAAGGACCCTCTAATAAGGAAAGAATCATCTGGGTTGGCAGGAGCACTAGTAGAGGATATCTGCTTCCCTGCTGCTGTGTAACAGATGGCTCATGGCTTGCTTGGCTGCATTCCTTCTCTCTGTAGGTCTTGTCAATGCTGACAAAGTGGCTGGCCGAACTCGCAAATACAAAGTGATCTTCAGCCCCCAGAAGGTGGGTTTGGGTCTTGGAGGAAGTGGGATAAGGTAGAACAGGACTGAGGACTAGGGAGGGGTAAGGGGCCAACAGCACTACCTCCCTGTCTTCGTTCGCTTTCTGTTGCTGTAACAGAATACCTGAGACTGGGTGATTTATAATGAACAGAAATGTCTTCAGCTCATGGTCTGGAGAGGTAGTGAAGTCCAAGAGCATGGGGCTGCATCTGGTGAGCGTCATCCTGTGGTGGAAGGGTGGGAGGTGGAAGCCAGCACATGACACTGAGAGGAGCCCAGGGGCCGGCCTTGCCTTATAGCCACCAACTCCTGCCATAAGGACCTGAATCCATTCATGAAAACGCCTCCCTCAGGACCCAGCACTGCTGCACTGAGGATTAAGTTTCCAACACATGAACTTTTGGGGGCCACATTCAACCATAGCACTCCCTTAAAGCAAATGATGTATGACTAAGCCAAATACCTGTCACTGTCTTTTCATTAACGTATCCTCAATTGTTTAGCAGAGGGTCTGTCATCATACTTTCCCAAATAAAGTATTGAGGAATCTATGTAGAGGAGGCCTCTAGATTTCTTTAAATGAAAAGCTTCACACTTGCAAAGCAGAACCTGCCCTGTGTCCCTAACACAGATCTAGGATAGTAATGGTGCAGTGCTACAGCTTTTCAATGATTTTCTCCCTGTATCCCTTTAGTAGTCAACAAATCATCACCCTCCCTCCCCCTTCTCCCCATGCTTATAGGCATGTGGCTGGGCTGCTCCTGGGTTACTAGAACCATGCCACCTTATATAGGAAAAACTCTTTCTTGCACAGGAAGGGAACCTTAGAGACTGTTTTACTCCACCCCAACTTTGAGCAGCTGAGGGAACTGACGCCCATGCTCACACAGTGAGTTAGCATGGCCAGCGAGAGCGCTGACTTCTTTACCTCAATAATTGCAGTGCATATGTGGAGGTCCAGCATAGTCTCTCCCTTTCTTGATTGCACTGAGCTCTCCTCTCACCTCCACATCAGCTAGGTGCATCCTCATTCCCAGCAATGGGGAGGAATGACGTTCCAGGCCTTTACCTTACCAGCCATAGGCCTGTAAAGCTGTAGCAGGTAGTGCATGCACACTTAGAGAAGGAAGAAACTAGAGTAGGAAGAACAGGGATTTATTCCTTTTCAATTTTCTAAGAAAATTCTAGAGAAAATAGAAGCAGTGACTAAGGACTGAAGCCTCGGAAGCCAGGCTGTCTGGATAAAATTTGCCTTTGAGGGCTTTTACCTGTGTGGTCTTGGGTCAGGGACTCAGCTGTTCTGTGTCCCAGTTTTCTCTCCTGGAAGATAGAGTTGATGATAGTACTTATCTCTTAATTTAAGTGAGATGACTTTGAGTCTCTGTTGAAATAAGAAATCAAGTGGTACCCCAGGCATGTATTGTTTTCTCCTTCTGTAAAAGGAATAAGCAGAAAGAGCCAGTGACCTTCCTTAGAATGTCACTTGAGAATTGATGGCACAATCTTAGACATGTTTATCCTGCTTAGGAATACAAGCATGTGAGGTATTATTATTGAGTAGGACAACCACTTGGAGCTAGAGATACTTCTGAATGTCATTAGAGGAGCCATGGCAATCATTTCTAGTTTATGGACTTTTACGAAACCTTTTTATTTTTCCAATTATACTTTCAAGGACAGATTTTTTTGGGGGGTGGAGCGGGACAGTCTTGCTCTGTCACCCAGGCTGGAGTGCAGTGGTGCTATCTTGGCTCACTGCAACCTCCACCTCCCGGGTTCAAGCAATTCTCCTGCCTCAGCCTCCCGAGTAGCTGGAACTACAGGTGTGGGCCACCATGCCTGGCTAATTTTTGTTTGTTTGTTTGAGATGGAGTCTCGCTCTGTTGCCCAGGCTAGAGTGCAGCGGCACAGTCTTAGCTCACTACAGCCTCCACCTCCTGGGTTCAAGTGATTCTTCTGCCTTAGTCTCCTGAGGAGCTGGGACTACAGGCGTGTGCCACCACACACAGCTAATTTTTTGTATTTTTAGTGGAGACAGGATTTTACCTTGTTAGTCAGGATGGTCTCAATCTCCTGACATTGTGATCCGTCTGCCTCAGCCTCCCGAAGTGCCAGGATTACAGGCCTGAGCCACCATACCTGGCCTAATTTTTTGTTTTTGTTTTTGTTGTTTTTGAGGAGTCTTGCTCTGTCACCCAGCTGGAGTGCAGTGGCGCAATCTCGGCTCACTGCAACCTCTACTGCCTGGGTTCAAGCGATTCCCCAGCCTCAGCCTCCCGGTAGCTGAGACTACAGGCACATAACACCACACCTGGCTAATTATATATATATATATATATATATATATATATATTTTTTTTTTTTTTTTTTTTTTTTTCTTTTTGTGAGACGGAGTTTCGCTCTTGTTACCCAGGCTGGAGTGCAATGGCGCGATCTCTGCTCACCACAACCTCCGCCTCCTGGGTTCAGGCAATTCTCCTGCCTCAGCCTCCTGAGTAGCTGGGATTACAGGCACACACCACCGTGCCCAGCTCATTTTTTGTATCTTTAGTAGAGACGGGGTTTCACCATGTTGACCAGGATGGTCTCGATCTCTCGACCTCGTGATCCACCCGCCTCGGCCTCCCAAAGTGCTGGGATTACAGGCGTGAGCCACCACTCCCGGCCAATTTTTTATATTTTAGTAGAGACAAGGTTTCACCGTGTTGGTCAGGATGGTCTCAATCTGACCTCTTGATTCGCCTGCCTTGGCCGCCCAAAGGGCTAGGATTACAGGCATGAGCCACTGAGCCCTGCCTAATTTTTTGTATTTTTAATAGAGATCGGTTTTGCCAGATTGCCCAGGCTGGTCTTGAACTCCTGAGCTCAGGTAATCCGCCCACCTCTGCCTCCCAAAGTGCTAGGATTACAGTTATGAGCACTGTAACTGGCCAAGGACAGATTTGTATTAACAGGGAATAATCCTACAAGTTAAAATAATCCTGTAAACCTCTACATTACACAGAAAAACAAAATTTGTATGTTTATGAGTGTTCTCCACTTAACAACCTTATCTAATCAGATTCTTTGACCTAATTTCATATTAGGAGGCATCCCTATCTCTTCCTTGAGACTCCCTTTGATAATTATGAAGACTGGCAATTTTCGGACCTGGCTCTGGGATTCCATTACTTAGCATTAAAAGCTAAAAGCAGACGTGTAGATTTTAGTTTTCCTGGCATAAATGAGTGAGGGATGTATAGGATTCTTCTGTGTAACTATCAAATAAGGAGCAGGTAGCCTTGATCTACATCTCAAAGAGCCAGTATGAAGATGAAGACAAGTGATTCTTGTAAAACGCTAAGAACCATGCCTAGTCCATTTTAAGGGCTTAAAACATTAGCTGTTAATAATGTCATCTCATTATCAAATGTGAGTGCCCTCAGCATTCTTTCTTATTACTTTCCCCACTTCTCTCAAAGGAGGAAGAGATCATGGCCTTTTCTAAGATTAGCCATTCCATGCCAGTTCCTGGCCCCCCTTCTGCCTTCCTTCTCCATTATCTCGCTTTACCAGGTAGCCTTTCTCTTCTGCCTTCACCCACATCCATCCCTTCTGAACAGTGTCCCCCATTTCATCTCTTCCCCCATCAGGGCTCCCCCTTCTTTCATGGCCAGGCTTCTGTAAAAAACGTTCTACTGCCACTGCTTCTGCTTCCTCATCTCCACCTTCATCCTTTCATCTAGCCTCCCTCAGGCCTCTGTTGTCAAATCCAGTGGTGTCTATTTTATGAATCCTACTACCTGCCCTGGCTTTGACACTGTTGCCTGGCCTTCCTTGCATCTCTAACCTTCCCTGCCTTGACTGTTGCTGTTTGCTCCTGCCCCTGCGTTTCTGGGTATTCTTTCTCAGTCTTCTCCGCCCTGCCCTGTACTCTGGCCCCCTTTCATCTTGGTGTTCCCTAGAGTCTTGTCGTTCGCTCTCCTCTGTGTGTTCTTTTCTCTTGGACAGACCATCCACTTTGTTATTTATTTATTTATTTGAGACAGGGTCTCACTCTGTTGCCCAGGCTGGAATGCAGGGGCGCAATCTCAGCTCACTGCAGCCTCGACTCCCTAGACTCAAGTGATCCTTCCACCTCAGCCTCCTGAATAGCTGGGACTACAGGTGCACACCACCATGCCCGGCTAATTTTTGCATTGTTTTGTAGAGGTGGGGTCTCACTCTGTTGCCCAGGCTGGTCTAGAACTTCTGGGCTCAAGTGATTCACCTGCCTCAGCCTCTCAAAGTTCTTGGATTAGAGGAATGAGCCACTGCACCCAGGCACATCATCTACTTTAAACACTGCTTGTATGCTACTGAATCCCAAGTCCATGTCTGTGTCTCCCAAGGTCTGTGGGCATGTCCTAAACAGAATTCAGTCTCCCTTGCACAACTCTTTCCCTCCCACCTGCTTCTCCACAATTTCCAGAGCACTTCATGCTGTTCCTCTCATCTCTGCCTATACAACTCACCTTCTGAAGACAGCTGAACTCCTCCTTTGTAAAGCTCTTCCATTCTCTTAGGGAGATAAGAAGCAATTTACTCAAACGTAAATTAAATGGATGAGAAAGAAATGAAGCGCTGGGCTGAATCATTCTGATGGTCCTTTCTAGGTCTAAGAGTCTGGGTTCTCTTGTCTTTCACTGGGTTCAGTAATTATTGTCCTCATCAGTGACCATGGAGGAATCCAGAGAAGTGGAGAGAACAGGAAGAAGGTAGTTACTAATCAATTTCCTTTTCTCTTTCAGTTTTATGCATGTGAGATGGTGCTTGAAGAAGAGGGAATCTATGGAGGTGAGAAGAGATGAATGTGAGTGGAAAGGGAGAGAGAACATACAGAAGAAAAAATAATTGTTGTTCTCCACCCCTAGCTCCTTTTCCTAGTCTTATTCCTGTTAGTCTAGCAGGAGGAGAGGTTCCTAAGAATGGGAATGGGAAGAGGATTACAAATTAGAAGACTACTGGTGGCCGGGCACAGTGGCTCACACCTGTAATCCCAGCACTTTGGGAGGCCAAGGGGGCAGATCACCTGAGGTCGGGAGTTTAAGACCAGCCTGAGCAACATGGTGAAACCCCATCTCTACTAAAAATACAATAATTAGCTGGGTGTGGTGGTGGGCGCCTGTAATTCTAATTCCATCTACTCAGAAAGCTGAGGCAGGAGAATCACTTGAACCTGGGAGGCGGAAGTTACAGTGAGCTAGATTGAACCATTGCATTACTGCCTGTTTGACAAGAGCGAGACTCAGTCTCAAAAAAAAAAAAAGTCCAGGCATGGTGGTTCATGCCTGTAATCCCAGCACTTTGGGAGGCCAAAGTGGTGGATCACCTGAGATCAGGAGTTCGAGACCAGCCTGGGATTAGAGGAGTGAGCCACTGTACCCAGCCACATGAATGTAGCTGATGAATATAGAGATGAAACCCCATCTTTACTAAAAATACAATACTTCGCTGGCATGGTGTTGCGCACCTGTAATTCAAGCTACTTGGGAGGCTGAGTGAGGCAGGAGAATTGCTTGAACCCAGGAGGCAGAGGTTGCCATTGCCATTGCACTCCAGCCTGGGTGACAAGAGTGTGACTCAGTTTCAAAAAAAAAAAAAAAAAAAGAAAAAAAGAACACTATTGAGGTTGTGTGAAGCGAACACCAGGGCTTAGAGTTGGAAACGGCCAACCACTCTTTTCTCACCTTCCAAGGCTCTCACAGGAAAGACTGGGCCTCCCCTCTGTATTCCTCACACAGCGCAAACCTCATCACAGCCCAAATCTCATCACAGCACTCCCTGCTGGAAATCTGGCAGTGGCTCAGTAGAAAGCCCAGCATTCCCTGTCCCTTGCACAGTCTGGCCCCTCCTGTCCCACTAGCCTCATCCTGTGCTGCTTCCTTCTCCTGACTCACCACCCTGCAGCCAGAGGGACATTGCCCATGCTTTTCCAGCTGCCGAGAATGTTCTCCACCCTACACCTTTTTTGCCTTTCCAAGTCTTCCCAAATTCTTTTTTTTTTTTTTTTGAGGCAGGGTCTTGCTCTGTCACCCAGGCTGGAGTGCAGTGCTTGATCTCAGTTCACTGCAACCTCCACCTCCCAAGCGATTCTCCTGTCTCAGCTTCCTGAGTAGCTGGGATTACAGGTATGCACCACCACACCCTGCTAATTTTTGTATTTTTAGTAGAGATGGGGTTTCACCATGTTGGCCAGGCTGGTCTCAAACTCCTGACCTCAGGTGATCCACCCTCCTTGGCCTCCCAAAGTGCTGGGATTACAGGCATGAGCCACCATGCCCGGCCTCTTACCCAAATTCTAAGTTTAATTTTCTCATCTTGAAAGAAGTCTTTTCTACACCCCCAATGTGGTTACATCCTTTTAATATTTGTGCTCACAGTTTGCTGTTGGACCTCTTTGGAGCACAACCATGATTTCCTAGTTTGTGTCATACTTTGTCTGGTGTGTCTTCCCCACTAGACTGCAAGCTCCAGAAGGTTGGGAGTCTGTCCGTTTTGTTCACCGCTGTTATCTCTGGTGTTCAACATCATCCTACATGTAGGCAGCTTTGAGTAAATACTTGCTAAAGAATGAATGAGTGAGCGGGTATGGTGGCTCACACCTGTAATCCCAGCACTTAGGGAGGCTGAGGCGGGCAGATCACCAGAGGTCAGGAGTTTGAGACCAGCCTGGCTGACATGGCAAAACCCCTGTCTCTGATAAAAATACAATAATTAGCTGGGTGTGGTGGCACATGCCTGTAATTCCACCAACTCAGGAGGCTGAGGCAGGAATCACCTGAACCCAGGAGGCAGAGGTTGCAGTGAGCTAAGATCCCGGCATTGCACTCCGGCCTGGGTGACAAGAGCTAAACTCCATCCCAAATAAATAAATAAATAAATAAATAAATAAATAAATAAATAGAGAGTGAATGAATGTTTTCTTGGCACTTTTGGTCAGCCCTCTAGTAAAAACCCACCACTTACCATATTGTATTACATTCTGCTGTAGACATGTCTCCTTTCCTTATCAGACCTTGAGCTCCTTAAGGGCAGGGGCTGTGCCTTCTTTGAGGCTCCATTGCTTAATGCAGTACTGGCATGTGGCAGGCGCTCAAATATTTGTTGCATGATTGTGGCGGACCTTCCCTCTTAACGTGGAGCTAAGTACCTTCTGCAGGGAGGCTGATGCTTTCTATCCCCACAGATGTGAGCTGCGATGAATGGGCCTTCTCTCTACTGCCTCTTGATGTGGATCTGCTGAGCATGGAACTACCAGAATTTTTCAGGGATTACTTTCTGGTAAATGCAGGGCCCTTGGGTCTTGGCATCAGGGGATGGGGACAAATGTGGGATCCAGAGGACTAGAAATACCAGTGTAAGCTTTGTCCAACTGAAATAATTTATCACAAGTGATTGTGATGTAGTGATTGAGTGCTACAGATTGGTCTTTGTGGGACCAATGAAAATGAACCTTTCAAGCCTTCCCCAGACCCTGCCTGCTCCAGGGGTTAATGAAAATGAACCTTTTAAGCATCATCCTGCTACAGGGGCCAATGAAAATGAACCTTTCAAGCATTCCCCAGACCCTGCCTGTCCAGGGGCCAATGAAAATGAGCCTTTCAAGCTTTTTCCAGACCCTGCCATCCTGTCCCAGGCATCCAGGGTTAGCCACTTTCCAGATGGTCCTGTGGGGTTGATTTATATGTTTGTGGCTTGTGTGGTCCCTGCAGGAAGGAGATCAGCGTTGGATCAACACTGTGGCTCAGGCCTTGCACCTTCTCAGCACTCTGTATGGACCCTTTCCAAATTGCTATGGAATTGGCAGATGTGCCAAGGTGAGAGCCCTCGCGGTACTGGTGTCCCAGCAGACCCTATTTCCTTTGTTCTGGACCCACCTGGACTTATCCAAGGGCGTCTGCGATATGAGGTATATTCTTTGCTTTGCTTTCATTGTTCTGGAATAGGTCCTCAGAGAGGAGAACTTGTGTGGCTAACAGAAGCAAGAGCCAGGGTCTCCTGGGTAGCATTCCTAAATCTCTTTATTTTGGGGACAGAGTAACACTCCTAACACTCCTTCTCATTGGCATGAAGGGGTGGGCAGGGATAGACACAGGTGGGAGTAGAGTAGGGGCACATGGTGAATAAGAGGAAGTATCACGTGGAAGGGGTTGGCTTCTGTAGATATGGGGCTGCAGTAGGGACCTGGACACAAGACAGAATGTTCTGGGCCCTGGCAGATGGCTTATGAATTGTGGAGGAAACTGGAGGAGGAGGAGGATGGTGAAACCAAGGGCCGAAGGCCAGAGATTGGACATATCTTTCTCTTGGACAGAGGTAAATTATGCCTAGCACTCCTGTCGTCTTTCAGCCCTAGAAGACGTGGGAATACGGCAAGTGTGGTGGCAAAGCTGAAATCCCAGCATTGAGGAGCGTGTGCCCTTGGCCCCATGGAAAGTGTCAGAGCTACCGTTGGGCATGTTGTGTTGGGGGCTGGGTCAGGGAGAACCTTCGTATGAGCTCAGGGATCTCTGTTTCAGATGTGGACTTTGTGACAGCACTTTGCTCCCAAGTGGTTTACGAGGGCCTAGTGGATGACACCTTCCGCATCAAGTGTGGTGAGTGCCATTGTCCTCTGCATCTTGGCAAGATGGATGTGGTCATCAGCCTTGGCACCCCCCACATGGGACAGGGCTTGTGGAAGAGACCCAGACCCTGAATGAACTGCTGGCTTCCAGACAGTTTGAGGACCTTTATGGCGGTTCAGGGAAGGGTAGGAGAAGTCCTCACTGGAGATCCTAATAGCTGTCCCTCTGTTCTCAAAGGGAGTGTCGACTTTGGCCCAGAAGTCACATCCTCTGACAAGAGCCTGAAGGTGCTCCTCAATGCCGAGGACAAGGTGAGGGTGTGGGTGCCAGCAGTGGACCCCCTGAGGGCAGCTGCTTACATGAGGCTGCAGGCCCAGCTCTGCAAGGGGAGGCTGAGTCTGTGGGAGAGGGTCTCTCCACCAGTTAAGAGCACACCCCAGAGCAGAGTGGACTTGACATGGATTTACGGGTCCCAGCTCAGCCTTCTTTGTTTCCTTTGTATTTCCGGAACACTGCAGCATGCTTCCTGTACTGTCATTCTGCTGCTAAGTTCTGTTCTGACAGAGTGTTGCTCCCATCTGATTCCCCTCACAGGTGTTCCATGAGATTCGAAACGAGCACTTCTCCAACGTCTTTGGCTTCTTGAGCCAGAAGGCCCGGAACTTGCAGGCGCAGTATGATGTGAGGCTCGGAGCCTGGGTCCTCTGTTTTGTTGCCTCGGTGGCTTCCCAAGGCTGCTGCCCGTGGACTCTCTTTCTAATACTACAACAAGCTCCCTGTCCTTTCTCATGGATGCATGGCAGCTGAGGGATGGGGGTGCTTTCTTGTGTCTGAGGTTGGGGGTTCACTTTTGGGAATTTACCCACAGCGCCGGAGAGGCATGGACATCAAGCAGATGAAGAACTTTGTGTCCCAGGAGCTCAAGGGCCTGAAACAGGAGCACCGCCTGCTGAGTCTCCGTAGGTTTCAGCTTGAGGGGCAGAGGGGAAGTGACTGTGTCCCTCCAGGGAAAGCTCCAGAGGACCATGGCCTCTGAGGAGGAGACCTCTGTTCATCTGACACATATGGTCTTATTTGCTGTAAAGTGGGAAGAAGTGCTTTTGGATTTTACCTCAAGAGGTTTTTATTCTTCTGGACAATAAAGGGGCATCTTTCTAGAACCAGGAATAGATCAGCTCCTTTTTTGTCCATCCTGCAGATATTGGGGCCTGTGAATCCATCATGAAGAAGAAAACCAAGCAGGATTTCCAGGAGCTCATCAAGACTGAGCATGGTAACTGCAGCAGCCTTGCTGTGCTACTGCCTATGCTTCTCCTGCCCCTGCTCCCAGTCCCTGTCCCACCCTGAGAAGATGTTCTCTGGCTCTTTCCAGCTGACACTGGGAAGCTATGTGGAATGCTGGGTCCTGCTAGAAGTCCTGGGGGTCCCTTAATCCACCCCAAGGATGGAGAAAGAGATGGGGAGATAGATACCTGTTAGCATAGATGGCAGCAGCTGAGCTGGTCCCCCGGTAACAGGCTCTCCTCTGATTACTAACAGCACTACTAGAGGGATTCAACATCCGGGAGAGCACCAGCTACATCGAGGAGCACATAGATCGGCAGGTGTGCAGGTGGAGGGCCCAGGAAGCCGAGAATGGCATTTAGAGGTGGGGACATAGAACCCAGCAGGTGTGCAGGTGGAGGACTGGGTGGACCCGAGAATGGTGTTTAGAGGTGGGGACATAGAACCCAGCAGGTGCGCAGGTGGAGGGCTGGGTGGAGCCGAGAATGGTGAGGTCAGCCTCAAGCAGAGGGGAAGGACACATGTCATGAAGCTTCGGTTCTCCTTGATTCTTTCCTCCTGTGCAGGTGTCGCCTATAGAAAGCCTGCGCCTCATGTGCCTTTTGTCCATCACTGAGAATGGTGAGCCCAAGAGACTACAGATGAGAATGGCAGATTGAGAAACTATGCCTTAGGGACAGAAGAAGTGATTTTGAAAGGCTAAGGCACATGTCTTAGCAAACAGAATGTTTCCCTGTAATTTGGTGGATTCTTTTTTGTTTGGGGTGAATCATCACCAGGCCACAGGGGAATGTATTGTTTTTGCCCTAAGCGGGAACACATCCAGGCCACCCTAGAACCCAGCCATATCTTAGGACTGCAGGGGTGCCGAGCTGAGTGGGATTTCTCTTGTCACTCCGTCTGTCTTTATTTTCAATAAAACAAAGGTACATTCCAGGAAAAAGGGATAGCAAGTTAATTTCCTGAACATTTATTTTATTTATTTATTTTTTTGAGATGGAGTCTCACTCCATCACCCAGGTTGGAGTGTAGTGGCATGATCTTGGCTCACCACAACCTCTCCCTCCCTGGTTCAAGCGATTCTCTTGCCTCAGCCTCCTGAGTAGCTGGGACTACAGGCGTGAGCCACCGTGCCCAGCTGGTTTTCATGAACATTTCTAAAATCTCAGATTTTGCAACCTTCGTGGCAACTTCATTTTACTGTTGAAGTCTTCCAGTTGGTGAATTTTCTTGAAGGTTGCCCCTTCTTTTTCTTTTACTTTTTTTTGGGGGGGAGGCACAGAGTCTCACTCTGTTGCTCAGGCTGGAGTGCAATGATGTCATATCAGCTCACTGCAACCTCTGCCTCTCGGGTTCAAGCAAGTCCCCCGTTAGCCTCTGAGTAGCTGGGATTAAAGGTGCAGGCCATCACATCCAGCTAATTTTTGTATTTTTAGTAGCAGCGAGATTTTGTAATATTGGCCAGGCTGGTCTAGAACTCCCAACTTCAGGTGATCCACCTGCCTCGGCCTCCCTAAATTCTGGGATTACAGGCATCAGCCACTAATCCCACTAATCAATCAGCCGAAGGTTGATTTCTACCCGGAGAAGTATTCTGCTTATTCTTGAACTCGCGACCTCAGGTGATCTGCCCACCTTGGCCTCCAAAGTGCTGGGATTACAGGCGTGAGCCACTGCACCCGGCCGTATTCTGCTTATTCTAAATCTCATTTACTATAGTTAGAATCCCAGTTTTTTTTTTTTTAATGGAGTTTCGCTTGGTTACCAGGCTGATCCATGGCATGATCTCAGCTCACTGCAACATCCACCTCCCAGGTTCAAGTGATTCTCCTGCCTCAGCCTCCCAAATAGCTGGGACTACAGGCATGCACCACCACGCTCGGCTAATTTTGTATTTGTAGAGACGGGGTTTCACCATGTTGACTAGGCTGGTCTTGAACCCCTGACCTCAGGTGATTCACCCAACTTGGCCTCCCAAAGTGCTGAGATTACAGGCATGAGCCACTATATCCAGCCTAGAATCCCAGTTATTCTTACCTCTATGGAGAAAAACATTTAAGACCGTGCTTTTGGGAGTCATTCGAACACTTTTCCTGTTTCTCAGTAGTTGTGAAGCAGTTCCTAGGACAACTGCCCCTTAGCCAGAAAGAAATGCATGAGTCATCACTTCTCCTTGCCCCACTGAATCCGCCCCCGCCCCCCTATGATCACCTTTAGTTCCCGTGTCCCCTCCTCAGCACACACGTGTTTCACAACTCTTATTGGGAACTCCCAGACCCAGGCTTTATCTTTCAATAAGCAAGCTTAAATTTAAAACCAACTGTATATGCTACAGGGTTAACACTGACTGAGTGCCTCCTGAAGAAGGCATTGGTTGCTGGTTTATCTGTACATTTTAGGGTGCCTCTGCTGGCCTCTTTCTAAGCACCCGTCTTATTTTCTTCACTCTTAGGTTTGATCCCCAAGGATTACCGGTCTCTCAAAACACAGTATCTGCAGGTAAGGCCTGGAGAATGTATTGTTGAGGGAACTTGGTGGAGGTAGTTATTGGGCATTTTTTGAAAGCGGCAAAAGAAGTGGCCCCTTTCCTGCCTCCATTACCTTCCTGTTTCCATTCTCACCTCCTAGAGCTGCTAGGGAGAGTCACCTTTCAGCATGCCTCTCTGCCCTTTACTCTTGTTTCACCCCATACACTCATGGCACAGGGCCAGTGCTGGGAATTTCAACATTTCAGCACTGGCCCCAGTGGTGAGTTCTTACTCCTGGTTGTCTCCCTCATTTTAGCACTGTGTGGGGCATTGATTCTGCTTTCCTTCCTGGTTCAAGTCTTACTTCATCTGGGAAGCCTTCCCCATACATCCATAGGTCTTTTTGGTTTTTTTTTTGAGACACAGTCTCGCCCTGTCACCCAGGCTGGAGTGCAGTGGTGCGATCTTGGCTCACTGCAACTTCTGCCTCTCCAGTTCAGGCGATTCTCCTGCCTCAGCCTCTAGAGTAGCTGGGATTACAGGTGCACACTACCATGCCCAGCTAATTTTTGTATTTTTAGTAGAGACGGGGTTTCATCATCTTGGTCAGGCTGGTCTCAAACTTCTGACCTCATGATCCACCCACCTCTGCCTCCCAAAGTGCTGGGATTACAGGCGTGAGCCACCACACACGGCTCATGCTGCTTTTTATCCTTTTTTGTTTGGTGTAATTTTTTTTGTTTTTTTGAGATGCTGTCTCACTCTGTCACCCAGGCTGGAGTGCAATGGCGCAATCTTAGCTCACTGCAGCCTTTGCCTCCTAGGTTCAAGCAATTCTCTGCCTCAGCCTCCTGAGGAGCTGAGACTGCAGGCCCGAGCCACCATTCCTGGCTAATTTTTGTATTTTTAGTCGAGACGGGGTTTCACCACGTTCACCAGGCTGGTCTCAAACTCCTGACCTCAAGTGATCTACCTGCCTTGGCCTCCAAAAGTCCTGGGATTAGAGGCGTGAGCCACTGAGCCCAGCCCCTGTTTGGTTATTTCTGATGTGAAAATTTATCTTAACACAATGTGAGCTCCCTAATGGCAGCGACTGCATAGTCCTTCTCTCCCTCACCTCTGTAGAGGCTGACAGTGCTAAATGCTTTTTGGAAACTCAGTAAATAGTCTAATTGCATCTCCTTCAGAGCTATGGCCCTGAGCACCTGCTAACCTTCTCCAATCTGCGACGAGCTGGGCTCCTAACAGAGCAGGGCCCCGGAGACACCCTCACAGCCGTGGAGAGTAAAGTGAGCAAGCTGGTGACTGACAAGGCTGCAGGTAAGCAGGGAGCACAGGTGGCCCCTGCTCCAGCTGTTGTCCTGACTTCTTTAAACAGGCAGCACACTGGGAGGGACAGAATGAACTGGAGAAGCTGGATTGATTCCTTCCTATTAATGTCATGACAATTACTACCACTACTGCTAGTAGGAGCGGTTTCCACATAGTGAACACTTGCCATGCGCTCAGTTCTTTAGTTTCTCATTTAATCTTCACAAAGACTCTGTGAGGTAGATTTTCTCATCCTCATTTTATGGATGATGAAACTGAGGCTTAGAGAATTAAGTGATTTGTCCCAGGTCCCTTAGTAAGTTAGGTTGGTTTAACTCCAAAGCACATAGCAGTAAACTCAGGTCACCGGTGGATTGCATTTTGTAGAGAGCTGGTACCCTGTAGGAGGGGGAAGGCTGTGGATGGGGAGTACCTTGATTAGTTCCAGGGAATGGTAGGTGAACAGGTTCCGAGAGTTTTGGGATGTGACTGGTGCTGTCATGTCCTGAACGGTGTTGCCTATGGCAGTGTCATGAATGCACAGACCTTAGGTGAAACCTGACACAGATTTCTTCCCCAGGAAAAATTACTGATGCCTTCAGTTCTCTGGCCAAGAGGAGCAATTTTCGTGCCATCAGCAAAAAGCTGAATTTGGTATGTGGAACAGGGATGGTTAGGGGAGATGGTGGGTTCATTGCATTGTGGAGTCCTTTTTTGGGGAGCAACAGAGTCTTGCTCTGTTGCCCAGGCTGGAGTGCAGTGGCATGATCTCAGCTCACTGCAACCTCGGCCTCCTGGGTTCAAGCGCTTCTCCTGCCTCGGCCTCCTGAGTAGCTATAGGCATGTGCCACCACGCCTGGCTAATTTTTGTATTTTTAGTAGAGATGAAGTTTTGCCATGTTGGCCAGGCTGGTCTTGAATTTATGACCTCAGGTTATGTGCCCACCTTGGCCTCCCAAAATGCTGGGATTACAGGTGTGAGCCACCAAGCCTGGCCCACTGTGGAGTACTTTGAATCCACAAAAGCTTTTTTGTCATTTCATGTGTAGAAGGATTCTTTTGCTTGGTAGTTTTATAGCATTGTAGATTCATTCATTTAATCCACATGTAACAAGCACCTGCCACTGCCAGAGAATAAATGCTGCTTCAGTGACAGCCATATCCCGTGTCACTTGAGGGCAGGGAAAGGAGAAGCCTTCCCTCCCAGCCCTTCGTACTATTCAGTAATGGCACATGGGAACTCATTCCAGAGAACTGGCAGTTGCTGAACAGAAACTGCCATCTTCGGCTATGGATCCTCTTTTCAGAGCTATTGCTGCTTCTCCCTTTTGTTGAACTAAGAACTGCTCTTTGGGCTTTGCCACTTTATCTGACCCTTTAAACGGTTAGGGAGCTGAGCTGTCATTTGCCTGAAGTCCCTTTGTCTTACAGATTCCACGCGTGGACGGTGAGTATGATCTGAAAGTGCCCCGAGACATGGCTTACGTCTTCAGTGGTGCTTACGTGCCCCTGAGCTGCCGAATCATTGAGCAGGTGAGAGCATGTTACTCTTGCGTCCATTCATATTTCACTCTCTCTGCTTTCTCTCGGCCCCTGGCCTGTCTCAACTCTGTTTTTAATTTGAGAGATAGAGTCTTGCTCTGTTGCCCAGGCTGGAGTGTAATGGCGGGATCTCAGCTCACTGCAACCTCTGCCTCCCTGATTCAAGTGATTCTCCTGCCTCAGCTTCCCAAGTAGCCAGGACTACAGTGCACTCAGCTAATTTTTGTATTTTTTAGTAGAGATGGGGTTTCATATAGATTGGGCCAACTATATGTTGGCCAGGCTGGTCTCGAACCCACCTCAGGCGATCCCCCCACCTTGACCACCTAAAATGTTGGGTTTACAGGTGTGAGCCACCATACCTGGCCCTGTCTCAACTTTTTGCTACTTGAGTAATGAGCAAGAAACATGACAGTCTGGCTGCTGTACCCTTCCTTTCCTAAGCATGACACTGTCTGCAGCCTTGAAACAGTGCTTACACCTTCCCAGGTGCTGGAGCGGCGAAGCTGGCAGGGCCTTGATGAGGTGGTACGGCTGCTCAACTGTGGTGACTTTGCATTCACAGGTACGTGGCATCAGCAGTGGGGTAGGCTGGCAGTGAGAGGTGGGCTGGAGGAACCACTCAGGACTAGCATGTCAGGGAGGAGCTGAATCTGGTCTGATCCTCACAGACATGACCAAGGAAGACAAGGCTTCCAGTGAGTCCCTGCGCCTCATCTTGGTGGTGTTCTTGGGCGGGTGCACATTCTCTGAGATCTCAGCCCTCCGCTTCCTGGGCAGAGAGAAAGGTAAGAGAGAGCACAAAGGTGAGAATTGGCCTGCATTGTATCTGGCCAACAAAGTGTCGGCTGGGTGCGGTGGCTCACACCTGTAATTTCAGCACTCTGGGAGGCCGAGGCTGGTGGATCACCTGAGGTCCGGATTTTTAGACCAGCTTGACCAACATGGTGAAACCCTATCTCTACTAAAATTACAAAAATTAGCCAGGTTTGGTGGTGGGCGCCTGTAATCCCAGCTACTCGGGAGGCTGAGGCAGGAGAATTGCTTGAACCTGGGAGGCAGAGGTTGTAGTAAGCCAAGATCGTGCCACTGCACTCCAGCATGGGCAACAGAGTGAGACTCCATCTCAACACACAGACACACACACACACACACACACACACACACACACACACACAGTCCTGCACAGGATTATTTTTTTCCTGGCCTTGGGGTACAGCTTGCCATAGCCTTACTGTGGGCTGCCATAGCAGGGAGCCAGTTATCCTAGGCATAGAAAGCAGTGGTGCCTAGGAGTTTGGCACTCATGTCTCTGTCTATAAACTGGTGCTCTGATCCCATGGGGACTGTGGAACTCGAGGGGCTGCATGATTACCACGGGGGCCTAAGATCTGCGCTGTCTCTTTTGCTGCTGCATTTGCCTCCTTAGGCTACAGGTTCATTTTCCTGACGACAGCAGTCACAAACAGTGCTCGCCTGATGGAGGCCATGAGTGAGGTGAAAGCCTGATGTTTTTCCCGGCCAGTGTTGACATCTTCTCTGGACACATTCCCCAGTGGGATGGAGGCTATAACCAAGTGGGGAGTATGGAACACGTTGGGATTTAGAGAACATATCTAAGAAGAGAGTTCACTTCCTGCTCTCAGGACAGTTCTCTTTTCTGTTCATGAAGTACAACCCATGCTGCTAAGATAACAAGCAGGGAGAGGTAGCCTTTGCTAAATCCTGTTTGAATATCCTTGTAAATAAAGCCTCTGCTCTCAGATGTAATGTGTTTGGGGTTCTAGACACGCACCTCCATCTTTATTAGTGAAAGCCCCATGGGGCCTTGTACAGATACCATATGCTTCTTGGCCTGGACTCTGGTAGTGGCTGCAGGCTGGTCTGGTTCTTCTCTGTAAAAATCACTCAAATGCTGTTCCTGAGTTTCCTCAACCATAAAATGAGGAGGATGGGTGAGGTGACCAGCAAGCACCTTTCCAGTTCTAAAATGTTGTAATTCATTACATATTTGAGAAAATGACTTTATTGTTTTAACTTAAGGAGCCAGTTTAATTTTAAGCATTTTGTTTCATATTGCAGAATGAAAGATTGTGTCCTATTAGAGCCATTTCAGGCAGCAGCAAACAATGCTCCTATAAATGTACCAGCACCCTCCTCATTGCTGATGCTAGTAGCTTTTTTCTCTCTCTCTTTACCTTTTAAAAGTTATGAAATATAGGCCCGGGTGCTGTGGCTCATGTCTGTAACCACTGCACTTTTGGAGGCCGAGACAAGAGGAATGCTTGAACCATGAAGTTTGAGACCAGCCTGAATAACATGGCAAGATTGCATCTCTATAGAAAATTAAAAAAATAGCTGGCCAGGCACAGTGGCTCACGCCCATAATCCCAGGATTTTGGGAGGCTGAGAAGGGTGGATCGCCTGAGGTCAGGAGCTCGAGATCAGCCTGGCCAACATGGTGAAACCTCATCTCTACCAAAAATATAAAAATTAGCTGGGCATGGTGGCTCATGTCTGTGATCCTAATTACTTGGGAGGCTGAGGCAGGAGAATCACTTGAACCTGGGAGGTGGAGGTTGTAGTCAGCTAAGGTTGTGCCACTGCACTCCAGCCTGGGTGACAGAGCAAGACACAAACCAAAAAAAAAATAAATAAATAAATTAGCTGAGTGTGGTGACACACACTTGTATTCCCAGCTACTGGAGAGGCTGAGGTGGGAGGATCCCTTGAGCCCAGGAGGTCAAGGCTGCAGCAAGCTGTGACCCTATCTCCAAAAAAAAAGAGAAGGAATTATAACCACCTGTATTAGTGGCCTCTTTTCAGGCCTCTTCCATCTTGATCTCACTGATGACTACCTTTTCCTTGAAATTGTCTTACTCAGCTTCCATAATACTCTTTATTTGTCCTCCCACAATCTCCTAGGTCGTTGCTCATCCCATTTGCTCTCTCTGCCCTTTGCTGTAATCCATTTCCAGATCTCACTTTCTTTCTCACTCCTGAGCTCCTTGCAAGTATTTCCTACCTGGTCATTCCACAGGTACTTCAAACTCAGCATGTACAAAATAAACTCATGAGTGGAAGCTCTTGTCCCTACTTGCATCCTTTAATCTGCTCTTCTTCCCTCATTCCCAAAGTTTGTTCAAATGAGCAAAAAGTTGTATCCTTGACCTCATATTTTTTCTTTCTTTTTTTTTTTTTATGTTGTTTTTTATTTTATTTTATTTTTGAGACGGAATTTCGCTCTTGTTACCCAGGCTGGAGTGCAATGGCGCGATCTCGGCTCACCGCAACCTCCGTCTCCTGGGTTCAGGCAATTCTCCTGCCTCAGCCTCCTTAGTAGCTGGGATTACAGGCACGCACCATCATGCCCAGCTAATTTTTTGTATTTTTAGTAGAGACGGGGTTTCACCAAGTTGACCAGGGTGGTCAGGATCTCGATCTCCTGACCTCGTGATCCACCCGCCTCGGCCTCCCAAAGTGCTGGGATTACAGGCGTGAGCCACCATGGCCGGCCTCAGATTTTTTCTTTCTGTGCCCCACCTTCAGCTGGTTCATTTGTCCTACTGGTTCTCATTTCTAAATGCCTCTGGTTCATCTTCTCCTCGCCATCCCTAGGACAGAGTTTATTGTCTCTTGCCTGGGTTTTTGTAAGAGTGTCTCTCCCAGCTGCTCATCCTCCCATCTGTTCCCCATTCCACAGTGCTGCCACTTACTAAAGGAAGAAAGAAAATCAAAACCTGAGTTACTGGATCATCAAAAGTATTCTTCCTATAGAATTATGATAATTCTGGCCCTGGCATAGTGGCTCACGTCTGTAATCCCAGCACTTTGGGAAGCCGAGTATCACTTGAGTTTGAGACCAGCCAGGCCAACATGGTAAAACCCTGTCTCCACTAAAAATACAAAAATTAGCCAGGTGTGGTGGCACGCACCTGTAGTCCCAGTTACTCAGGAGGCTCAGGTGGGAGAATCGCTTGAACCCAGGAAGTGGAGGTTGCAGTGAGCTGAGATTGCATCACTAGACTCTAGCCTGGGCAACAGAGCAAGACTCTGTCTCCAAAAAATAAATAAATAAAAATGATAATTCTGTATAAGAATATGTTCCAAGGAAAAGGCATTCCTCAAGCATCTAGCTAGAATTTTGAGTGTTATGTCAAGCTAGTGTGCAAGATCAAAGGCACTGCCAACAGGGCAGTTGGTCCCCAGAAAGAATAGGTGGCATCAGAAACAAATTTAAGTAAACAGTGGCAAAGCATTGTACTTTCCTCCAGTAGAGATATGACCCTGTCATAGGATTTTTTTTTTTTTTTTTTTTTTTTTTTTTTTTTGAGACAGGGTCTTGCTCTGTCATCCAGGCTGGAGTGCAGTGGTATGATCATGCCTCACTGCACCTTGACCTCCTGGATTCAAGTGATCCTCCCGCTTCAGCCTTCCAAGTAGCTGGTACTACAGGCTCATACCACCACCCCTGGCTAATTTTTGTATTTTTTATAGAGACAGGGTTTTGCCACATTGCCCACACTAAGGTCATACATTATAAACACATATTGCACAGTGTTTTACATGCTGAGTTTATGCTCTGAATGGATATCTTTGCATCAGTTCTATGACTTTGTTAGTTCCAGCACCTCAGTGTGAAAGACAAGATAGAAAAATTGGCTTATCTCCGGATACTTAACAATGCTGGCTAGAAGAACAAGTATGAAGATCACAAATCTGCGAAGCTTTCTGAAAAACTCTCCTGTTAACAAAGGGTGAAAGTAAATTTTATCATCCCCTCTATTAGTGGTGTCAATGTTAATCAACAGAATGCAAGTACTTGTAGAAAGTGGCTGGCCGCTGGCCGGGCACAGTGGCCCACTCCTGTAATCCCAGCACTTTGGGAGGTCGAGGCGGGCAGATCATGAGGTCAGGAGATAGAGGCTATCCTGGCCAACATGGTGAAACCCCATCTCTACTAAAAACAAAAATACAAAAAAATTAGCTGGGCATGTTGGCACACATCTATAGTCCCAGCTACTCGGGTGGCTGAGGCAGGACAATTGCTGGAACCCATGAGGCGGAGATTGCAGTGAGCCGAGATCGCAACACTGCATTACAGCCTGTGTGACACTGCGAGACTCCATCTCAAAAAAAAAAAAAGTGGCTGGCTGGTTGCAGTGCCTCACATCTATAATCCCAGCACATTGGGAAGCTGAGGTGGGCAGATCATGAGGTCAAGAGTTCAAGACCAGCCTGACCAACATAGTGAAATCCCATCTCTACTAAAAATGCAAAAAAAATTAGCCAGGCATGGTGATGCACACCTGTAATCCCAGCTACTAAGGAGGCTGAGGCAGGGGAATTGCTTGAACCAGGAAGGTGGAAGTTGCAGTGAGCTGAGATCATGCCAGTACACTCCAGCCTGGGTAAGAGAGCAAGATTCCATCTCAAAAGAAAAAAAAAAAGAAAAAGGGGTGGGGGATAAAAGAAAAAAAAAAAAAGTGGTGCCTGCTGTCCACTATTCTGGTGCTGGGAATGTGTGGCATGCTGCTGACAAGTTAAAAACAATATTGAGGCCGGGCATGGTGGCTCACAACTATAATCCCAGCACTTTGGGAGGCTGAGGAGAGCAGATCACCTGAGGTCAGGAGTTCGAATCCAGCCTGGCCAACACGGCAAAACCCCATCTCTTCTAAAAAATACAAAAAAATTATCTGGGCATGGTGGTGGGATCCTGTAGTCCCAGCTACTCAGGAAGCTGAGGCACAAGAATGGCTTGAAGCCAGGTGGCTTCAAGTGAGGTTGCAGTGAGCCAAGATTAGGCCATGCACTTCATCCTGGGTGACAGAGCAAGACTCCATCTCAATAAAAAAATGAATAAAATAAAAAGAACATTGAAAGCACCAATGAAATTTTTCTGACAGTAAGAAAAACATGGTTCTGAAGGTGAAGCAAATAAGTATCCCTTACCTTTAGGGAAAAGGCATAGGAAGAGGATTCACCTAAGTTACAGTTGGCCAATAAACATGAAAATGTGCAATTTCAGTTATCATCAAGTGCCAAACAAGGAAATGCCATTGTTATTATTTTATCTACACACCGAGCAAAGATGTTTAAAAGTACAATAGGATTCAGCCCGGCTGAGGGTAACAAAAGGAGGGTGCTTTTCCAGTGAGGCTTGGTGTGGAAGGCAAATAATTAAGGGAGCATTCAGTAATTACACCTCTAGGAATCAGCCGTACGAAAATGCAGGATGCAAAGATTTATGTTTGAAGATATTCAGCGCAGTTTTAGATTATGATGTAACTATCAATAGCAGAATGGGCGAGGTATCTACACACCAGGATATTATGCCACCATGAATCACTGGGGAAAAAATGTGATATGTAAGTATTTAGGGATGTAACATGTTCATCGAGGAAAGGAGGCTACAAAAGTACTTAATGAGCTTTAAAATTTTCATGTAACAATATAAAAACTCGTCTAATTTGAAAGAAAACCACACCTAGGTGATCGGCATTTATTCACCAACCACGTGACTTGGGCAAGTCATTCAAATCTTTTTTAGTATCCTCCTCTGCAATGGCGACAATACTTGCCATACAGGATTATGGAGTTTAAACGGGATAACTAGTGTTGAAAGGTTCCAGGCCCGTGATCAGGGCTCAATGTTTCTTCCCTTCCCCTTTAGTGTATGGCTTTCTACATCTGGAGAAGATTCGCACCAAAGATCAGTTCCAAGGTTCGCTTCCTGGATGAGCGAGGGAAATTAGGCGCTAACTTTC